GAAGTGTAAATGGTTAGTAAGGTGAACAAAATAATCAAGTCTTACTGAAAATTTAAGCGCAGTTGGTCGTCTACCTCTCGGTCTCTTAACACTCAGACCGCAGGCGGCTAAGTAATTCCCATCGGATTGCCATTCATGGCGGGGAATGTAGCTTTGTGGAATGACCTCTTTCTCCCCTGTCTCCTCATTAGACCGAATGGTCACTTTGAAGAGACCCTTATCCAGGATCTGCTCTTTGGCTTTTGGGGACAGATGGCAATTCAGCCCTGCCTGAGAGCAAAGGGGGGTTCCGGTTCCACCGTTTATATTTTTTGTTCTTCATCTGGTCAGGGGAGGAGATAATGTAGAACTTTCTTCTCCAGTCCTTCCACTTGTACTCCTTCCCAACATTCACATATAAACTTTGTGGCTTGAAAGGGTGTACCATCCGGACCCGCTTGCTTTTGGGGTCCGGCTGAGGTAGTGCATCTGGGCAAAAGCCTCAAAACTCGGCTCTACCTTCAGCATCTCACATGCTTCAACAAACACCAGAATGTTCACCCAAGAGTTGGGGGCAAGTTGCCAGATACCCAGCTGGTATCCATTTATAATTTTCTCCACATCCGGATGGAGGGGGAATCTAAGGCCACCTTGAATGGCCGCCTTATAACAGCCAAAGAATTCGTCCCTGTAGCTTGACCCTTCTGGCTAGACTACGGTGTCTTCAGCATCCGGAACGCATATAATGAAGACATGTCCCATGACATGGCCAGCTCTGAATTTCCCCACCTTGTCGGCCATAGTCTTCTGCATGCCTACGGGGATGTGGTGGTAATAAGCGGAAAACTGTTCTCGGCGATGGGCAGAAGGCTCGGCCCATCCCTTACCCATTTCTACGAACAGAGTCTCTCTCGTTGCCTCCAGCCGATAGCGGTTTTCATTATAGTCCACGGAGACTTTGCCAGAAGTACATGGCTCTAACTCTCATCCGAGTTGTCGGACCTAACGTCCGCTTGAGGGGCCACATGAACAGAGTCAAAGACATCACTCTCTAACTCCTCCCTTGATTCTTGAAAAATTGAATCATTGGGGGTACTTGGAGTGCTAGGCGGCAAATAAAAAATCTCACTAGTAGGTACCCTAAAGGAGCCGTCTGGATTTTGTTGCCTGGATGTTTGTTTAACTATGGCCATGGTGTCCTGCACACACATAGAGAAAGTCGGATTCGGGGAAGTTTGCAAAGGGAAGTCCAAGCAGGGGCAGTCGGTACACTTAGTTTTAGACTCAGCCGTCCCCGGTGATCGGCTGATCACTAACCTAGGTCGTGCCGTGTGCTTTTGGGAAACCATTTTAAAAAAGAAAGAAAATTTAAAATACGAGGGAAGAGCAGGCGGTTACCTTAAATTTAAAGGTACCGTGGACGCTTGAAAAAGTCTTGTACGATTGTAGAAACAGATGAACAAGTTGCAGGCGGTAGGTGCTTTTCTCAGAAACATACAAGTTCTTTCCAAAGTCAAAGATTCTTTGTCCGAAAATGTCTCCTGAATATGCGAAAATGAAGGAAATAAGAACCTATTTATAGAAGGGTAAAATCAGGGGCATCCCTGTAATTTCCTAGAAGGTGAACGGTTAAAATCGTCCACCAATGCATGTACGTCAAGTGTCATATGCGTCACGTGGCACACCACATCACCCCTGTGAGGGGCAAATGATTTGGGTAAAAATACCCAGGCCACGTGGCCCAATCGGAAGTTGACACGTGTCACCCTAGGAGAGGTTCTAGATGAACCAATCCCCACTTGACACGTGGCACTTCCAATCATTGGAAAAAATACGGCCTTCCTGGCCCAATTCCCAAGCAACCCACGAGTCCTAGGTTTCCGTAACCTAGGACGGAGGCACAAATCCCCATGACCCTATAAATAGGGAGATACGCATTCAATGCGGGAGAGATACACATTCAGATTCAGATTCCCTCAGAAACGGAGGTAGTCAATGATTTCTAGATAATTAATTCTCACATTAGAGAATACCTTATCTCGGAATCCAAGAAGATACCACTTTACTTTCTGCACTTTTTTACATTCTCCGTACACGTTCTAACTTGATCGTTAAGGCGAAACTCCACCTAACCGGAGTCTCCGTTGTTTTGCAGGTACAGGCGCTTGGAGTCTAGTCTAGGTGACGTAAACCTCCCGAGGGACACAGAAACCCCCGAAACAAGGTTGATGATATTTGTGAGATGTACACGTTGTTCTGGAGAAGGAGACAACAATATGTGAACTTGAGCATGAAGTTGAGATGTTGAAGTAAGAAATGGAATGGCTTAGGGAAAAAGTGATGAAGCTGGAGGCGAAGAAAGTGAAGTTGTTCGAGGAGGTTGAAGAAATAGGGATTGCTACAACTAAGACTATGTCCGAACTACAGGAGACCAACACTAACAAGAGGCTCATATTGACTTTGGTGTTTTCTTAGGCTTTTTTCACTTTGGTGCTTATGCTTAAGTGGGTGATGATGATGACATAGTATTTTGGGGGGGTTGGATGTTGTTGTAGGTTTTTGGGGATGAGTCAGTTGGGTTTGGTGGATGTATCTGTTTTTGGGGAAGTCTAAGATGTAGCTGGTTGGTTATTTTTTGCCGTTTATGTGATGAAGGTGTTTCTAGTAGGTTAATGCTTCTAATTAAGTATGTAGTAGTAGTAGCAGGCAGTGATTGGCAAAAAATAAAAATAAAAAAAATCTAAGTTTAGTTTGGTCATATGTGGACCTAGTAGGTGATGGTATGATGCTAATGTAGGTTGAAATGTACATTTTGGCAACTGATTTCAATGAAATGAATATATGATGTTGCTTTATATACTTTGTGTGTGTTTTGTGATTGCAAAAGTTGGATTAAAATAAAGGTGGAAAGTGTAAAAGCATCCTTGATTAAATTAGAAGGCAAATTCATAAGTATTCAAATCAACCATACAACAACACCACAATGCTTAGCAAATTGTCTCAAAAACAGATTACAAATAATAATTGTATCTTAAAAACTTAGTTAACTAAACTAATCTAGGAAGTGGACCCTTGACTGAAGTTGTATGAAAAGTTTCTGGTAACAACCTCCTTTCTTTGGTGGTTGCACTTCCATGTACCTGTAAGTCAAATCCAACAAAAAGAAACAAATTAAATTAGGCAATCTGAATAGAGAATATGCACAAAAGAGGCAATCTCAAAAATAATATGTGTAAAAGAGCATACATAAGAGCTTCCATCTTGTGTCACAAACATCTCATAGCCTACAGGAATCTGAGGCCCCCTTCCTCTTCCACTCCCTCTCTTTCTCCCACACCTAGGACCTCTTCCACCTCTGTCATTTCCCCTTCCCCTACTACTCTCCATTCCTATAGTGCTAGTAGGATCCCTTCCCCTGCCACCATCCTTTCTAGGCCTTTGCCTTCCCTTTCCCCTTCCCCTAGTGGCTCCACTGCTGCTTGCTCCCCTGCTGCCTCCCCTGTTGATCACCCTTCCACCTTTTCCAATCCTTGAAGGCTCTGCTATTGTAGTAAGATGGGAAGGGGGAACATGCCATACTAGTTGGACAGGTTGATCTGCATGATCTTTTCTAAGCCTACCCCTAGGTTTCTTTGCTAGGGGTTGTTGGGGCAAACTAGTACCTTTATTAGGGAAATTTCTTTTGTTATGCCCTTTTGACATACACACACCACATGTCATTTCTATGCCATGTCTTATAATCTTGTCTGGTTTCTCAGGGTCTTCAAAAGGGTCTTTCCTCATATTCTTTCTTGGTCTACCTGGGCCTATCTTGATAGGAGGGGGATCCAAAACCAAGTCAGACATAGGCTAGTGCCTCTCACCCTCTAATGGTGGGATTGAGTTCTCATACGCTTTCACGTAAGTTTCTTTCTTATAGCAATCATCCACATAGCCCTCTGCATTCTTATGCAAGAAGAATATGGCAGCCATAACATGGCAGCAAGGTACCCCACACATATCCCACTTCCTACATGTGCAGCTTTTCTTGTCTAAATCAACAGAGCAAGTGTCCAAGTTGTAGCTTACTTGGAACAATGTATGTGTGGATGGCAGCACATCACAGTGGGTATCTTCTTCCTTTTCCTTCTCCAATTTTTTTTGAATCCTAGGGCATAAAATAGTCTTCCAATTCAACATTTCTTCCTTCTTAACAACCAGTCTCCACATTAGAGCACCTCTAATGTCCTCCAACATGTAAAGTAGATGCTTAGCCCTAGCTTGTATGATGTATCCATTAAATGTTTCAGCCATGTTGCTTGTAATTACATTTGCCTTCAATTCAGTCTTCAAAAAGGCTCTACAGAAAACCTTAGGGTTGTAAGACTTAAAGGCTTCTGCTGTAGCTGGGTTCGAGGTAGCTAAGATGGCCATAACATCATTGTAATCAACTTCACTGTAAGCTTTGGCACAGTTCCAAAACATAAGTTTTATGTCATCGCCCTTGAAATTCTTGTGCCAATGAGCAAAAATGTGCCTTGCACAATGTCTATGCTATGCATTAGGCATAGTAACTGAGACTCCTGCTAAGATAGACTGAAAAAAAAAATTCACAGCATACAGTTACACATTCATACAACAAAAAAAAGCACTAACAAAATTATAAGTAAAAAAATTGTAGTTAAAAGAGCAGTGTAGTTACCTGATGCTCTTTTGAAACAATGAAAGTTCCAGCACCATCACCAAGTTCAAGGCTCTTCTTCAGGTTGTTCAAAAACCACTCCCATGACTTGTTGTTCTCACCCTCTACAACAACCCAGTCAATGGGGTACATCTGATCATTCACTACTACAAATCCCTTAGTTTCTAGACGATGTTTGCTCGACGTCAGGTAATAAGAGTTAGCATAAAATTTAGTTTCCGTGTTTTTTCGACGCTTTTCTATGTCATAATTGGGTCTTGACACAGAAAAGCGTAGTAAATTAACATGCCTTAATGCACGTGACTAAAATCCATCCCGAGACTTCAAAATTTTAGGGAAAAAATAAGCGGGCTTTTTCATCAGAACAATTCTACGACCCACAACCTTTAGTTCTCATCAGCACTACTTTCCCACAACTAAACCCTAACTTTTCTATGCTTACGATCGATCTCATCTGATCTCCTAAACCGCTTGAAATTGTTGAATTTTCGTTCCTCTCTTCAGTATTATCTTCAATTATCGGTAATCCCCTTGCTCTTGTCATCAATTTTCCTTAATCTCCTTGTTATAGGCATCAATTTCGTAGTTTTTGGTTGATATATCACTCAAATTAGGTTGCTTATGAGGCATCAATGTCAGAGTATTGTCCACTCTGAATTTTCCATTGAAGTGGCTTCCGATGCTTTCTCTCCTCCATTGAAGCAGCTTCTGAGGTATGATGTTTTACCATTAAAATCACCGAATATCAATTTCACAACTTAAGGGTTTAATTTCACTCTGACATTTACCTTTAAAGTCATTCTCAAACTCTCTCAATCGGTTTCCACCACCACACCACTAACATTTGCGACGGACAATTGCGCTCAGGCCATGGTAAACGGTGATGCTAATCCGGCCACGGTGTAAGTTATTCTACTAAATTTGTTTTCGTCTGAATTATGTAATTAGGGTTCTAAATTTTTTTTCATCTCTAACATTGTTAAAACCGAATTTTTTTTATATTTTTTTAAATGTTAAATTAGCTTGATGTGTAATCTCCTGTGGTTAAAGCAGTAGATCGAAGCAGTAGCAAATGCCTAGCCGCAGAGGTTTTTTCCTCGAATTTTTAGTTATTTTATTTGAATTGTTTTCTGTAATTTTGTTGATTTTTGAGTGTATATTGAATTTGAAATTTTAGTTGAATTTTCTAGGGTTTATGTTTTGGTTAATCTGGTAGAATTTTTCTGGATTATTTTGTTTATGTTGATTATATTTGGTGGTTTTGAAGCATTATTGTTGTTGCAATTTAGATTTTTTTGGGTTAGATTTTGCATTTTCATTGATTTTTGTCATAAACCAGTAAATTATGCTCTACTGTTGTTGTTGCCTAGCTAGGGTTTTGCAGTGAAACTTTTCTATAGATTGAGGTTTAAATTGTTAATAGATAAAAATAAATACTTTGGTGACTGGTTGCCATCAAAATTGTAGAAAGAACAAGCATGATAAAATTCTACTATTTGGATTCAGTGTTGTTTATACACTATATAAATCGTTATCAAATTCTTTTTTTAGTTGTCAAATTAGAACTAGAGAGAATTATTATTTTTCTTTACGAGGACTTTTTCTCACATTTATGTTGTCTGTTTCGTTTTTATATATAGAAATCTGTAGATATTATGCAGCAACTTTTTCCATTCTGTTTTGTATAGGTTAATCTATCTCTATTAGCAATGAAATAAAAGTAGGAGCTGCTTTTGTTTCTTTGTTGTTTTGAATGGATGATTTTCTCCTGCTTTTTCAGCACATTTGTTTCTATCTCTCATTTGTTTCATCCCTAGTTACATAGTAAAGAAAAAAGAAACTGCTGCTTATTTGCCTTTTTTTTATATGAAATTATTTGGCTTAACATGTAGATTGCAGCAACGGTGATTCTCAGCATCCCAAAATGGAACTTCCTGGTACTGATTACATGCCCTTGAATCGACATGTATTTTATTTAATATTTATAAAATGCAGTTTTTAAAACTCTATCAAAAGGCAAAGAGCTCTAGATATCTTCTAAGATCAAGATATTTTATATATCTTCTCCTAGTGTTACCCATTATAGAGCTTTAAACTTATAGTCGAAGTTTTCAAGATAGTGCAAGAAAGGTCAATAAGCCTTATGGGGAGGAAAACGGATCTGCAAATGCTAAGTCATAACCAAAATAAATGTTGGTTATAATCTCATAGTTCCTAATACTGAGTATTGATGTTATTTGGTGATTAGTCAATAGTTTTATTATGTAATAATATGTATTGCAGTTGAACATTTCTATTATAGAATATGGATTATATTTTCTATAAACTATTGGTGTTACATTTAGTTTAACACTAAAATGGTTCTCCTGATTTGAAGGATGAGCTCTTATGGGCAGCTACTTGATTGTACCGAGCCACGAATACTGACTACTACTTATAGTATGCATCTTACAATGCAACCAATTTAGGTAGAACTGGTAATTCAGTCAAGATGTTCTCTTGGGATAACAAGTATGCTGGTGTACAGATCCTTCTAACAAAGTTAATTACATTAAAAATTTTTTATTATATACTTTGAAGCAACACTTAACCATGTCATAATTCTTTAGAGTTTTGCATATTAACGAAATTTCATAGGATCATCTGCCTGTTAGGTAATGTTCACTTGCTCATTATATGGGAACTGAATATTAACTGCAGCACAAACTTGTATTTTATAGGTTTTGTTGGATGGAGATGGTCGAGCATATACTGACACTCTGAAGCAATACAAAGCCAAAGCAGATTTATTTGTTTGCGCTTATTTGCAGAAAACCAATGGTGACGATGTTCCCATGACTCCAGGTCAATCTTCTGTATCTATTCTTATTTGTAATGTTTAAGGTTTTGGTGCATATGCACTGTCTAATGGTACAGATGAAACCGAACTTAAGCTGACTATTTCTTTCCCTGTTCTTATGATTAGGAGGACTGGTATTCCTACTTGCGTCAAACAATTTGTTGGTAACTGTCTATCTTACATATGTCTTAGCTTTTGTGCGGCCACTTGATGATTCTCATGACTTTTGTGTTGGTGTAAAAATATGTGTGTGTATTTGGTTTATGTATGGTAGTGTACATGTGTCTTAGATGTTTGCATGTGTGGAAAAAGTGTGCAGTGGCGATGTGGCCTTCTAGACTTCACAGGCCTTTGCGCGCTTGTTGCCCAATTTGTATCTTGTTTTTGTGCTTTCTCCATCATCATACTCTATTTTTTATGAAAAGTTTTACTTTGCCATTTATTTCATCATTTTTCTTTATAAATGCTTTGCAAGTACCAAACTCATAAAAAATATACTTATACCATTGCATTCCTTCAGATAATTTTTTTACCCCTGCATTTCTTCTAACAATTAAATGTTATATACTTATTAATTTTTTTTAAAGGTTATGAATGCAACAGGAGAATGAAGGAAACCTACTGAAGCTGGAAATTAGCCTACTATGCACCTTCATTTGTTTATAGTTAGTTAGATAGTAGTTAACTTATGTAGGCTTCAATCTAACTTTTTAATTTAGTTGGCAGTTGATATATGTAATAATAATGATGATATTTTGGACATGGCTACGTTTTTTTTAACATCCATCAGTGATAGTATGTAGGTCAGGGATTGAATTTCAATTCTTTTTTGTTCGTTAATTTTGACAGAAACTTTATTAATTTTATATATATTTTATACCTTGCTGGTAGTGTGCTTGGTGTTGTTCACATGGCTGAGCCTATTATACTCAGCATTTCCTTTGCCCTTTGGTTGCTGCTGCTATCTTATTGTTGTTGCCTGGTTCTTTTGCTGCTGCCTTTTGGAAGTGGCTTGGTCTGCTGCTGAGCTGCCTGTTAATTTGCTGGCTGATGTGCCCATTTTTCTGAGATTTTTCTGAGATTTGTCTGCTTCCTGCCCTTGCTTTGCCTGTTGGCTACAGATGCCTGGGTTCTTCTGAAGTTGCTTAGTCTGAGCTGCTGTTCTGGTTGTTGTGCTGGCTGCTGACCCTTATGCCTACTGCCTTCCTCTCTGCTGGTTTGGCTGCTGCTGCCTCATGGTTTTGCTGTTGCTGGCTTTTAATGGTGGCTATTGCTGGTCTGATCTTCTCTGTAGGCAGCTACCGTCTTGAGCTTGGGTGATATTTTGCAGCTGCTTCCTTGCTGGTTTCTCTGCTTGGGTGTTTCCTTGAAGCTTTTCTTGCTGCTTTCAAGTTGTTGCTTGGTCTATCTGCTGCCTTTGTTGCCTTGTTGGTTTTTTTTGTTGGTTGTTTTAGATACTTGTTGATGTTAGTTTTTGTATTTTTTTTGCTTTGGTGGCTGGTTTTGTAAAGAATTTTTTTTTATTTCTTTGCATATTTCTTTAGCAATACAAATTTATTTTACCAAAAAATAAAATATTTGAAAAACTTTTATTTAAATTATATGAAAAAACAGTAAAAAAAATTCTAGACGCTTTTTCTTGCCAAGAAATTTTGCTCTAATTAGTTTCAAAATTTCTCGCCACTATTTTTGCGTGGATGTCAAAAAGCGTCTCAATTGATTTTCGGACTGAAAACAACGTCGACAATATGGAAGGGAAAAAGCGTCTAGAAATTTGGTGGTGACGCTTGAATACCGATATTTTCCACGGTTAGCATATTTTATTAGACATTAATAAGCGTCGATATTGAAGACAATTAAAGGCGTCACAAAGTATTGGGACATAAAAGGGTGTCGAGATTTGTGACACGAAAAGGCGTCGCGAATTTCTCGACTTAGTTTTTCTCGACGCTTTTATACAGCGTTGAGAAAAAAATAGCGACGCTTTTCAGTGCCGTAAATAATGGAAAAAAGCGTCTCAAAAGGACAGGATTTGTAGTTGTGATTGCCATCTCTCCCAACTACTGACATCAACTGCCTTCCCGAAAAAGTCTTCAAGAAACATGCATCCACACATATTACTTTCCTACAACCTTCCTTCCAACCCTTGTGCACTCCCTCAAGACACACATACAACCTTTGAAAGATTTCAGGGGGTTTCTTCTTCTCCATGTAAGTTACTAAGTCCAAGTGTGTGTGTGGACTTGTCTTTTTCAATGCTTCTAAATACCTCCCAACTTTCCCATAATGTTCTCTCATAGAACCATGAAGATTTTTATGGGCATAGTACTTTAATTTATAAGAAAAATCTCTCTAAACAATCACCCTATAAGCTCTCCTAACAGTCTCAATAATCTCCTTAGCAGGCCAGTATGGTCTAGCCTTGAACACATCAAGCAACTGCTCAGCCAACCATGTGCATTTCAATTGCTTGTTTTTCTCCATATTTCTTAAGCAAGTATGGTCCTACATGACTATCTTAAGTACAAATGAACCCCTCCTATAATCCTAGGAAGCATACAACCTAAATGGACACCCTCCTGAACACCTCACAACAATTCTTTGCTGCTTAGGCCTATTTTCTAACACAATGGATAAGTTCCTGCCCTGAAAGACTGCATACTTAGCCACAACCTCCTTAAATGCTACTATATTACAAAATCTTTGTCCCACCTTCCACTGAAATATTTTGAAGTCTGTGTCAACCCCTACCAACAATCCCCTCCTGATTCTTCTTTCTCAATTGTTTCCTTATCCTCACTACCCCTAGGTGTATGAATTTCATCCCAGATCTAAAACCCCCATTCCCACTACTTTCCACTAACTTGCCCCCTTCCTGTTGTGTAGTAAGTTTTCCCTTTCTAGCTTCTTCTTGAAGTTTCTGTGCTAATTCAACTACACTACAGTTGAAAACCCCTAACTATCTCCCTGGCTTCCTCGTGCTCATCATCGTTGGTGTCCAAATCATTCACCTCAGGGTCTTTTAAAATCTCAATGTCATTAGTCTCACCATCTGCCTCACCAGATCCAAAGTTTGCCTCATAAATTTCATAGTCATATAACCAGTCCTCTTCTTCACAGTCAACTAGTTTATCCTTATCCTAATAGTCTTCCTCACACTCTTCCTTATAATTAGAATCCTATTGGTACCATTTTCCACTACAAAATCCTCATCCTTCTCATCATCACTGTTTCGGGATTTTTTTGTGTCCCTTGGGAGAGTTACAACACCAAGACTGACTCTGGGCGCCTATACATTGCAAAACAACGGAGACTCCAGCTGGGTGGAGTTCCGCCTCCGACGATCAAGTTAAAACGTGTATGGAGTACGTGATAAGTGCGGAAAGTAAAGTGGTATCTTCTTAGAGTCTGAGATCCGGAAGATTCTCTGATGTGAGAATGATCTAACAATCAATACCTGCCTCGTTTTCTGAGTAAAATCTCTCTCTTTTTTGATTGAGTTAATTTTGTTCCCTAGATGGGATACATCTCCCTTTTATACGGTCTTGGGATTCATGCCACTCTCCTAGGTTACGGAAACCTAGGAATAATGGGCTATCTCGAGAATTGGGCCTTGAAGGCCATTGTTTTCCCTTTTGACTTCGAGTGCCACGTGTCAACTGGCAAGTGGATTTTATTGGACCTGTCATAAGGTGACACGTGTCCCACTTTGATTGGGCCACGTGGCTTGGGTATTTTTACCCCAAACATTTGCCCCTCACAGGGGTGACGTGGTGTGCCATGTGGCGCCTGTGACACTTGTGACACAGGCATTGGTGAACGGTTTTAACCGTTCACCTTCTGAGGAAAATACAGGGATACCCTTGATTTTACCCTCCTATAAATAGCATTTTCATCTCTCCATTTTCGCACATTCACAAAAATTTTCAGACAAAGAACCTTTGCCTTTGAGAGGATTCGCTTATCACCGTTTGAGTTCAATCCGCCTGTATACAGACGTCACAAGAGAAAGACTCATATAACCGTCTGCTTATTCCGTTTGACACATCCGGTATACCGTTTGTGTAGCTCACAAACAAGAAAACACCTAAACCGTCTGGGTAGCTTCTAGACAGCTGCCTCCCCTCTTTCAGCTAGATATAACCAGTCTGTCGTCTGTGCATCTCACGAATAGAACATCTGAACCGCCTGGGTAGTTTCCAGACAATTCTCTTCCTTTCCAACTGGGTACATCCGGTCAACCGTCTGTGCATCTCACAAGCAGCTGCTTGATTTCCGCCTGCCTGTTACAGTCGGTCAACGCTTGACTTCACTTTTAGAAACATCTTTGAGGTACCGTCTTTCCCCTTTGAAACTCTTTCGAGCTTTTTATCGTTTGTATATATTGCATTGAATAATGGATTCACCCACAACACACACGGCATAGTCTAGGACAGTAGTCAGTCGGTCTCCTGGAACGGCTGAGTCTAGGACTAGGGGTGCCGCCTGGGGTTGTTTGGAACACCCTTGCTTTTCCAAGAATCCGACCGTCTCTGTGCATGTGCAGGACAATATGGCTCGGACGAAGCGGACGACATTTGACCCAGATTATAGATCAGACGGCTCAGCTGAGGCGCCGGTTGATAGAGAATATGAATATCCTCCAAGTGCACCCAGCACTCCGAGTGACAGCATTTTGAAGGACTCTGACCAAGGTG